AACTAGCAAGTCAATAGGTTGAGAATGACACTGAGTATGAAGATGTTATGATTCTGGATCTGATATAGAATGGAGCAAGGTCTCTGAAAGTACAAAGGATTTGTAACTAGTAATATTCTGGAAGTTTTGGCTGTCAGTTGAATTAATTGTATGATGAAACAATAATTTTGCCAACATCAAGTTGATTAGTTAAATATACTAGTTTTAAGTCTTACTAACCTGACGCATGACAAAACAGCTGGGTGTCTCATGCACCAGGCAGTGTGTACCTTTCATTGGAAAGTAGTTTTATTCAGTACCTTTCATGTTTTATCTACATCAGTTATCCAAGAGAAGAGGGGGAAGGGTCACTTTGGGCATGTCTGGCAGGCATAAGACAGTTGTAATTTGTCTGGTATTAACTATTCTGTACTCTCTGATAAGTATCAGTTATATTAACTTCGTTTCAAGTGGTACCAATAATGTTTGATCCAGCCAAAAGTTTTAGGCCCTTTTGGGTGTTTGGTGGGCATAATGTAGCTGGCAGTATGTCTGGCGAGGGTCGCTTTGTACTTGGTGGAATGTTACCTTTCATTCAGTACCTTTCATGTTTTATCTACAGCTAGAACACTGCATGGGGTCAACATTTGGGTGTGTGGGCGGGCATAATGCAGCAGGTAAATTTGTCTGGCATTGTCCATTCTGTACTTACTCTCTCAGATGTGTTGAAGTATATAAACTTTATTTTAGGTGTTTGATCCAGCCCAAATTTTAAGGCCCTTTTAGTTGTCTGACAGGCCTAATGCAGCAGGTATTATGTCTGGCATGAACCATTTTTTACCCAGTGTGATATGTAATTAGCCTGAAATACACTGTGTGTGGTACCTCTCTTATGTTTGATCTAGCTGATTTTTTTTTTTTTTTTTTTTTTTTTTGCCCCTTTTGGGGTCCCCAGGGCCAAACGCAGCAGGGGGTCCCGGCAGACGTCCAGTTCTTCACATGCTCTATCATTCTCTACATGATCCTGTACTCAGCAATTGGTACCACGTTCGTTTGACCAACCTCCCTCGGCTGCCGGTCTATATAGTTGGGTGTGAGTAGTTATAGACCGGCAGCCAGCGACATAGGGTTAGACGAACTAGATACCAATGTCCGAGCATATGGTTATTTTGTGGGTTCAAAAATGCAATTATGCCGGGAACCCCCTGGTGGGGGTAGGGACGGGAACCCCCATAAGGGCGAAAATATGGGTCTGACATAGATGGCCGAGGTACCACTTGAAATCACATCTAATGTTTATTTATCGTCAATCTCCATCAGCAGTACAAACGACAGACATTTTTGGGGGTGGGAAGGTCCTGCCAGACCCCCCCAAAAGGGTTTCAAATTAGGCTATAATTAATGCAAATGAACATGCTTAGTGTACAAGTCTAGAAATATTACTCCAGAAAAAGCGGTGGGACTATGGGCACCAANATACATATTCATATATATATATTATTATATATATATATATATATATATATATAATATATTATATATAGTATTTATGTATATATAT